TCCGGTGGCCCTGGGTCCACCCGGCCTCCCGCAACATCCCACCGGACTGTACAGGCACCCCCAAAGCTTTGCTCGCCAGAGAGCAGGACCTAGATCCAGGGCATTAGCTGGCTAATGGCAGGGTCTTGCTCCCCAAGTCCGTTTTTGGCCTCCTCAGCAATGGGAGTGGGAAGGAGGATTTCAGAAGATAAAGGGGAGAAGATAGTGGAATCCAAGAGTAGTCAGTCAGCTTTGCGGCCAGGTGGCCTAAGACCAGTTTGGTTCCCCAAATAAACAAACAGTGGGGACTTGCATTGGTGACCTCACAGCTCGAAGACTTGTCTTTTCCATCTGTGAAATGGGGCATGATCCCTCCATGACTGTGGTGAGGAAGAAACAGAATAGAAATGCTTCTAGGGAACACTGGGATCTAGTCTCACCCTCTCCCAGGATTCTCCCTAAAGGGGAACCTCTGTCAAGACCCCCTTGAGCCTCATCTACCCCCGATGACCTGAGCCCTGTGAAGTCTCTATTCAGCACTCAGGTTGTCCTGGAAGTCACTATGTAGCCCACACTGACTTTGAACTGGTGACAATCCTCTTGAGTGTCTTGCTAAGCCTGAGGATTAGCGTGAACTCCGGCGCCCAGTTCCCCAGCACTTGTCTTCACACCCACACATTCCGGAACTGGCTTCTCCCACCCTAAGGCCCAGGACCTTCCTCTTGCCCCCGGAGCTGGCTTCTTGGGGTGGGGGCCTGTTGGTTGTTTCTGTTCTGGGTTGAGCTGTGATTTTTCCCGGGCCCTGCATTAGGTCTTCTCACACTCCACAGGCAGCCAAGGCCAGGCCCCCAGCTCTGGTGCCTCCCACTCTTCTTCACCATTCCCCTGGCCACACACCGGCCCTTAAGATAGGTAGAGCAGGACAAACTGGGAACGCTGCCTCCTTTTCCTTTCTGGCAAGAGGCTGCAGGCCCGAGAACATTCAGAGGCCTTGGCTGCCTCTCCCCTCCCTGCCATTGAGGCTTGAAGAAGTGGTTTGGCCACTTTAACTGCCTCTTCTGGCTCAGGCCTTTTACACTAGGCCTACCCTAACCATCTGCTGTTATGAAGCCCTCCTTCTTCCCAGGAAAGCAGTCTTTTCTAGTTGTTATGGCTAGTGTGTGCTTGCTACAGATGGGCAGCACCCCAGGAGGTCAGAAGCGTGAGTATGTAGGGCAGTTCCCTCAAGAAACTTGTCAAGAACAAAGGTCTCTCAGCTTCTCCAACCGAGTCAGAACTACATGAGAAGCCCAGAGAGGGAGGCCAGCCCTGGACTTGGTAGGAGCAGGCCAGCGAGCACTTGGAGGCAGAGCCAGGAATGAGAGGAGTACTGAGCAAAGCCCCTCTCCTGTCTGTGGAGCAGACTGTGGTTTTCTTTGGCTTTGCCTGAGCTCCTCTCCCACCAGGAACACCCATGTGCACAGCATTCTGGCCAGATAGTTCAAGATGGAGCCAGTATTCGGGCCTTGGCTTCCATAACTGTATCCAGAGGACAGATATACCTTCTCAGAATATCGTGAAGAATAGATGCTGGGCCAGTGTGAGGTGATGTTCAGGAACCCGTCTCGTGCCCTGTATTGTTTCAGCTACCTGATTCTGACCAAGGTCGAGGGCTGTGCCAGCCTGCTACAGTAGCTTATACGGCCTCCTCTATTCAAGGGGAAAGGAGAGACTGGACTCCAAGAGGACCAGCTTAAAGCTTTACCAGTTTCAACCTCAGCAGCCCCAGGTCCCAGACCTCCCACAAGATCGACTACACAACACAGCTTTCTCAGACAGGATCAGACATTTATAAAACAGGAGTATTCACAAACAAACTGTGGGAGAAACACAGCCTTCCCAGCAACCTGGAACACTGTAAAGTGCTTCTTGCCTGTGGCCATCTCTTCCCCACTCTGGGGCACTGCTCTGTGACAGCCATTCAGTCTAGGCCACTCCATCCGTAGCTCTGGGGTGGGTGGTCTGCTTCCTTCATTGGAAAGCTATCCTGGAAATGGGCCTGCATGTCAAGGAGGCGGAGCGTCAGGTGATCTTGTCAACTTGAGAAGAAAGCCATGCTCAAAAGAGCAGAGGGCACTGTCCCCATAGTTTAAGGTGTTGCAAAATAAATCCTGGACTCGGACCTAGCTGTTGACCCTCTCAGACCAGCTCTCCAGGCTCACTCTACTTTCCCTCCAGCAAGATCCCTTGGCTCTTTCCTCGGAGCCTGGGGCTCAGAAGCAGGGAGGAAAAACCCCAGGGTTCTAAATACACATCACTTGTGCTGCTTCTCCACTCGATCACAGGCTGTTTATAGTCAGATGATGGGCATAAACAGTTGGACTAAAGGCAGCTCTCTGCTGAGAAAACCTGAGGTCATCTCAAAAAGAAGCCTGTCAGATGTGCTGGACAGCTGGAGGAGAGGGGAGCCTGGCCCTGGGTTCTGGTCTGACACAGTGAAGGCCAGGGCCAAGGGCATCAACAACTCTGAGGCTCAGCAAGGTCACAGGGGAGGTAGAGAGGAAAGGGCACAGAGGCCAGCTTAATGTTACATGTGAGAACAAAAATCCAAACAGGAACACACACACATACACACACACACACACACACTCACTCCACACGCATACACTGTGGCTCATGTGCAGGCCACAGGGGTGGAAGGAAGACTTGCTCAGTTACCCACAATCCTTCTTTTCATAACTGCTTTCTCCACATGACCCAACAGCATCCCCAGGAGGTCAGAAGCGTGAGTATGTAGGATAGTACATACATAGGGAGAGGAGGTTCCCCTGGAACACAGGCTTGGTTTCTCTGGGCCAAACCTCCCACTGTCACTCTGGGAAAGGGGATGGTGTGCCAGGTGTAATCTCTATTTGACCTTTCACCAACTGCCCGCAGTAGTGCCCCAGCCCCCATGAGGTCCCTCTGTCTAAGTCCCTTGAAGCCCAGTCCTGAAGAGCTGACACAGCAGTATGGGTGCTGACTAGTTCAGGGTGGGCCATGGAAGCCCGCAGAACAGACTGGCCAGTCTGCCTGGCTGGGTAGCAGCAGTACTTGCTAGAGCATATGCCTGGGAATGCGGCCAGGGGAGCTATGGCCTTTAAGCCATGGGACCTGGTTTCCTCCACCAGCCCTGACCCTGGCCTTTCTACAGTTCCTGGGAGGCCGAGGCTGGGCCCTAGCTGCTAGGGAAAGGACAGAGGACTGGAGTCAGGTTCTCACTTGGCTTCTAGAAGGTCCTATGAAGACAGATATGCTATCTGAGGCCGAGATCGGCAGGACTGAGCATACAATACACCAGTCTGCAGTCTCACACATCCAAGGAAGAGTCCGCGAGTGGCATGGGATTTAAGACTGGCCAGGCTAGTTATGTCTGAAGGGGAAGCATCTACTCCAGCTTGCTCAGGTTCTAGTGTTACGAGGTGGGATTTAAGCCAGCAGGACTCTGGCTACTTCTGGAACCTCACACTTTAGGTGAAAGTCAAAAAATGTGGTTCTCCAGCTATCTGAAGGGAGGAGGGAGAGTCTGGGGAGGCAGAGACCAGAATTCCACTTTCTACTGGGACAAGAAAGGGGGCTCCCAGGAACAGATCTGGGCTGAAGGTCACTGCTGTGGTTTCTAGTCCTGTGTCTGGAGATGAGGAAGCAGCTCCGGTGACAAGGATGATCCAGAGAATCTTTCAGCCGAGGCAATATTCAGGATCACGAGAGTGCAAACAGATGCATGCACACGCAAACGGCACACCACGCCTTCCTTTGCACACACATATACACTCGTCCGTTGTCTGTTGGTGACTGGGTTCTCTGTAGGCCGTGGCAGTTCAGGCACCCGGGCTTTGTCACGGAGCGATGACTCTCTAGCTGAAAGAGAAAAACACATGCAAAGAGGGTGCTCAGGAGGCTGCTTCCCTGGGGATCCCCAGACTGCGAGTGGGACAACTCAGTGAACATGCTGCTTGGGCCACAGTCCCTAGGGCCAGGCTGTTGCTGAGCAACCATGGGGTAGTGAATACTGGATCTCTAAACCCAGCACAACTGTTCCCTGCACACTTTTACCAGGGATGAGAGCAGTAGAGGACAGGGCTGCATGGCCACCACTGGACACCTTGAAAGATACTTGCTCACAAATGACAAGTAGAGCTACTGCTTTAAAGACGGAGGGCTGGGAAAAGTAGCTGTGTGAGAAGTTTCCTGGTTCTAGTGATTTTTGAAGAATAAGGCAATGACTGGGTTTAGAACCAGCAGGGCCAACTTCTACACACCAATCACAGAACCTGGCACAGGGCTACAATGGTGGGGGAATGGGTGAAGAAGAAGAAAGGAACAGGGACACATGACGACTCATTTTAAAGATTTAGAACATTCTGGATCTAGGGCAGAGAGAGAAATGGCCTCATCAGATACCAGAGGATAGGGTAATCCCACTGTAGTTACGGGCTGTCTGTAACAACAGGCTGATGCAGTGGCCACAGGGCAGGTGCACTCTTATGTCCACAACTAATGTCCCCATTTATGTGGCTCAGGTCCTGACTTTCAGCACCTTAGGCTGTGACTCTCTTTAGGTAAAAATGAGATGACTGGGGTGACCTAAAATGGAAAAGGAACTCTGACCCACACAAAACAGAGGGGGAAACCTTTGCAAGCACCAGAGACCATGACCTTGAACTCCCGACTCCAGAACCAAGGATTTGCTTCTGTGGTGCTTTGCTCTGATGGCCCTCACAGACCCCCACAGGCCAAGACAACCTGTTATACCTCCATTCTCATACATGGGACACTGAACTGACATAAGTGAGCATACAAGGTGCCAAGGTAGGAATCCCCAGGCTCTCAGGATGCACCTATGTCTGAGCACCACATGAATACCTGGTGCCCCCAAAGCCAGCCAGGATCGCTGGAGCTGGAGTCACAGACGGTTTTCAGTCACCATCTGGGTGCTGGGAATCGAACCCTGGGTTCTCTACAAGAGCAGCCGAGGCTTCTCTGAGCATCTCCCTCCAGCCCCTGTTGTTTGGATTTTAACCAGTAAGCGAACTTTGTATTATTCCTCAGCAAGACTTTTATAAGATGTAAAAAGAAAGAAATTCAACACATTGGCATAGAGATTGATACCTACACAAAATAAAATGGAAGGTGTTAGAGATGAGCAAACACTCTTAAAAGTCAGACACATTTGCAGACATGAATCCAAACTCAGCCTTCTAGCACATTCCAGCCTATTTTGGGTATTTATCTTTTTTTTTTTATTTTTCGAGACAGGGTTTCTCTGTAGTTTTTGGTGCCTGTCCTGGAACTAGCTCTTGTAGACCAGGCTGGCCTCGAACTCACAGGGATTCGCCTGCCTCTGCCTCCCGAGTGCTGGGATTAAAGGCGTGCACCACCACCGCCCGGCTTGGGTATTTATCTTATGCAATTGAGGCAGCCTGGACTCCCGATCTTCCTGCTTCCACTTCCTAGGTGCTAGGACTATGGGTGTTCAGAGCTCAGGCAGTCCTTGTAGGGCCGCACACTCCACTGGAAGCCGCTTGCATCTGAAGAGTGACACTCTGTCATACTCTCTAGATTAGAGAAGCTGGGCAGAAGTGGATACATGTGCGTGCAGTTCCTGGGGCCTTTAAGTTACACTTAAACCAAGTGTAACTGCAGTCATCCACCTTCCCCTTGGAAAACGTACTGCAGCAGGCAGCCACGCTCTTCCGTTAGGTGCACTGTGTTTATGGAAACACTTCTGAGTACAGTTTCCAAGCAGAGCAAGCCTGCTGTTAAACCTGAGATCAGCTTCCCTCTGAAACACCAACTTCAGGGCCATCTCCACTTTGTTTCTTTTGCTCTCAACTCTTGGGGTTCACGGAATTACGGACATATCTTTTTAAAATTTAAATTCATTTTAAGTGATGCATAATGGCATATCACGTGATTTTTAAAAAACTATTTTGCCCCTTCCCTCTTCACTTCATAGACAGGAAGATTTCATATAATCAGGCTGGCCTTGAATTTGCTATATAACTAAGGACCTTGGATTGTTGATCCTCCTTCCTTAGTCTTCTGAGTGCTGGGATTCCAGGCATGCATCACTAGGCCTACTTTAACCTGTGCTATTCTAACACATGTATACATTATGTATTCCTGAGGTCAATTTAAACCTAGTTCCACCAACATATCTTTTATCATTTATGGAACATACTCAGCTCCTTTCTTATGGTTCATTTCCACGTTAGGAGCTAAGAATCAGAGCTTAGAAACACCTGAACATTCTCTAGCCAGGAACACAGGCCTGGGATGCAGAGCCAGGCTCTCTGGAGGGCTAGGCTACCTCCATCTCCACACTGGATAGGCTGTAGTGACACACCTGTCCTACACCAGTTGCACAAGTATCAGAGTGAAAAGGGGGATTCTGGAAGCTGCGCTCTGGGCAGTGAAACCTCAGCACTAACAACGCACAGGCCGGTGAGGGAAGGCTCCTTGGCTGGCCCTCTCTGCATGGGGCTCTCACTAGAGTGCTGCACAGAGCTGGAGGGGAAGCCCATGTGCAGTCCACTGTAAGACACTGATGAAAGAGGAAACCAGTGCAGAACTGGACGGTGATGGAGCCAACCCTGTGTCAGCAGCTCGGGGTCACATAACCTGCTGACATGACTGCTATTTGGAAGCTCACAGTTTTCTTTGTTCAGTTTAGTGAACATTGTAAAAACTAAATGTAAAACATTCGGTTGGCATGGGTTTGAGGCAAGCATGGAACCCAGTGATCTTAGAGATGTTTTTCTACATACTGACTTAAATTGTAATGACTTCTCACGAGACAGCAAGTGCCAGAGACAACAAGGTCACAATGCCAATAGAGCAGAGCTAAGAGACTAAAAGCAGGGAATGATTACTCAGGCCTTGGCCTGCAGCCCAAGACATGTGACTAAAATGGACAGGGGATGGGCAGGAAGGGGTACATCTTCCCATCCACACAACTCTGGCTGCACCTACAGCCTCCTCTCTATGGCCACCAGTCAGGTGATTAAAAGTCACCTGGAAGCACACGCAAGGCAGCACTCGCCTCTGCCCGGTGTGCTCCACTCACAGTCAGACCTTTCACACAAAGGGTTTGATTTCCCCCTGACATCCTGATATGTGTGTCCCAGCGGTAGGGCAGGTGACAAGAGCTACCAAGCATTTCACAGCTGTGAGGGTTGATCTTGGTTGTCACCTTTCCCAGGGCAGCCCCTGCTAGCAGCAGCCCAGCAGGAGTGGTCCCAGAGAAAGGCAGGCTATTCCTGTCTGTCTGCCGGCACGCCTTGCTGTTAGCGCATCTCTCCTGCTGCTGCTGCGCCCTTCTTCTTTGATGTGAGAACCTTTCGACCTCCGACCCAGACTGAAGAGCAGTGCTCTCCAGGAGTCCCTCTGGCCTTCAGCACCAGCCTTGCAGACTCTGTAGTGTGCAGATGACCACTGTTGGAATACCTTGCCCACTGTGTAAGACAATCTAATACTTTCTTTTGTAAGCATGAGCATTCTGTAGGTTCTGTTCCTCTAGAGCGCCTAATACAACAGGTGAGGCCTAGATGCCCTGGCCTGCACACAGCAGGCACTTTTCTTTGGGGTTTTCAAAAACATGGCACTCCCACTCTATGTCTTGGAAAGATGTCTGTTCCTGTCACATCCTCTGACTTCCTGGCTCCTTTCTACCTTCAAGAGCTTTGCCTGGCTTAACTACCTAAATGAAGATGTAGGGCAAAGTCGTTAAGAACAGCCCCCGAGATCCCAATAGGTGATACATGGGTACCCAAACTATAGGACAAGAAAGGCACTCTGCATGGCTGATGTCACTTGGTATCAGCATCAGCCTCTCAAGTGGCTCTTGCGCACCTGATTCTCTGTTAGGGCCCCATCCAGTGTTTGGTTCTCCTCCAGATGCAAGGTTGATCATCCCATTCCACAGGCAGCTTCTCTCCCAGAACTCCCTCAAGGGGCCCCTCTGCTTCCAGGAGCATCAGACTGCACAGAAATAATCCCAATAATGCCCATCTCAGCAGGGAGTACCACGCTCCAGAACTTCTGAGCTAGCCCAGGCTGTGAGGCCCACACACTGTGTGACAGTGCTGATGCTCACCATGACCCATACCTCCTAGCTAACTGTGCCCCTGCACGGGCCTCCGCCACAGGCCTGCTCTAGACACAGTCTAAGCCAGTGATCCTTAAAAGCACAGCAACCTCTTCATGTCCCTGCCTTTCCTTTCTCTCTTCTCAGGCAGGAAATCTTTTCCATTTAACACTTACGGCCCCCTACTAAAACACCTCTGCTTCACTATCTCCTCCTACCAATATTACCCAAGGTGTAGGTGGGGCTGCCAGTCCAGTTCACAACACGCCCCGAATCTCAGGCCCATCACGGGAACGTGAATGTCTAAGACCCATCATGGGAACATGAATGTTGTTAACTGAGTGAGTGAGCACAGTCAACATTATTGTCCTGTCCCCTCCTTGAAGAGGCACTGACAGCTGAGCTGGAACAGCCATCTTCCACCTGCCAGACTACAAACCATAAGCCTCACCTTTGAGCCCCCTGGAAGGTAAGAAAAATGTTCCGATCTGTTTTAGCCAAGTAGGGGGCTTGGTATCACAAGCTGAATGTCTGTTATCTGACTTTCTGAATTTAGGAATGCCTGCACAGACTCCACTGCTGACCCTCAGGCAGTTTTGGGTGCCAGAGCATTTTAGATCTTGGTGCTTGGATTATGGGACGCTCAACCTGCATCCACACGTCTGCGACTGACTGATACCTGCGCTTACTCTCAGGAACAGCAACCACCTTCCGAGAGAGTAAGTCATTTGTACAAGATCGGGCAAACTTTGATGTTTCTGGTGTTCAAAACACCCTTGAATCCAGTTCTCAGGTTCCCTGGGGTAAAGTTTAGTTTCACGTTCCTTGATCACACAACCCACCTTCATAAGCTGAAGGTCTGTACTGGTTTTTTTCTGGGAACTATAGGCTATTAGTCTTCCTTTCCTAAGTTGCTATGGCTGTATTCCACACATGACTTTGTATGTCATATTTACATGTCACTTATATGCTTTACATGTCACTTTCCCCACACATCCACACACAACAGCCCATGTTGTACCGTATGTCATCAGCTTACTGTGTAGTCTGACACACACACCTAACCTTTCTATTTGTTAATCTTTCCTCAAAATCAGGGCATTAATGAAGCAAGTTCATTAGCCATAACACGCTATGCTTAGCAGCACACCACAGACAGCATGGCATCCACAGCGGCCAGCTCTTTCAGGGACAAGGCAGCATGGCCTTGTCCTCCTGCTTGCAATGTCTAGAGGGAAGAGGCACCAAGTGCCTACCATCTCGCCGAGCACACAAATTGAGAGAGACACCCCACACAGACGGATCCAGAGAGGCCCTGAAGTGATTAGGACCAGAAAAAGAACCAGACAGCTCTACAGTGAAAAGCCCCTCCGATCTACTGATGCAGATGTACGGAATAGCCTGACATAACGACTAAGGGAGGTGGCAAGCTACCTCCCTCTCCAATATTGACATACAAGTCTTTCCTGCCTTGGGGAAGGAGGAACAAGGAGGAGGCAAATCTGTTTGTCAGTCTGTCTGTTTTTCTTTCCTTTTTAGTGGTTCGGGAACCTTCCAGAAAAGATGTGAGCCCTGACTGGGATGTGCAAAGCTACAAGGTCTGTGAAAAGACCAGAGACCCTGTAAGCAGAAGCAGAGAGACAGCTGGGCCCTCTGGTTCTTCCAGGGCTGAGTTCTTTCCTGACTACAGAACACAGCCTCCACCTGCCAGCTTCACATCTGGGTATCAGATTTGACTCACATTAGCAGGCAGAAAAGGCAAGCAAACAAGCAAAACAAAGCTAACCCCCCTTTCTTTTCCGCTAGTCAGAAAACAAAGGACTTAAACTTTTAAATTTCTTTCGTCTAAAATAAAATCTTCTTTCCTTAAAAAATAATAATCTTCCTTTAAATTTTATTAAGTAAACTGAACATGCTGGCTCAGATCTGAAATTCTGGCACTCAAGAGGATAAGGCAGGAGGATTACTACAAGTTCAAGATTGGCCTCAGCCACACAGCAAGGCTCTATCTCAAATAACGGTTCTCAACGTAGGTCTCAACTGCCTTGGGGTCACATATCAGACATCCTGATATCAGATATTTACATTGCAATTCATAACAGTAACAAAATTACAGTTATGAAGTAGCAGTGAAAACAATTTTATGACTGGGGGTCACCACACCCTGAGGGTTATTAGGGTTGCAGCATTAGGAAGGCTGAGAAGGGAACCACTGGTTTAGAAGTCATGAAAGTCAGACCAGTGGGTTCTGAGCTGAACTCCTACCCCATCAGATTTTAATCTGATTTGCTGTTTGGACCTCCAGTTGGCAAGCAACAGCTTTCTAAATCATGTTACCTCCTTCTGCAGGGACTCACTCTCAGGCGTCCTTGCTTGGTGGCTCTTGGGCAGGCATCTCTGTCACCCTAGCCCGCTTGCTCAATTCTTCACCCGGAGGCTCCTCAGCTGCTTCCAGCTTGCGTTTAGGGGAGGCTGGGCCACTGGATACGGGTCTGGGGCCTGTGAAGAAAGGCAGAGACAAGTATAGTTCCACATCACAATGGTGTCATGCTGTGCAATGACTGCTCTTTAGAGACAGGGAGCCCTGCCCTGGCCTCCTTTTCAGGAGTGACCTCACTTGGGAGCTGTGTGAGGAGGGCATGGCCTGGCTTGCTGGCAGCAGGGCCAACTTCTGGTCTCAGATCCCTGGCTCCAGGCCAGAGACTGATGCAGCACATCTGCTGTCCTTGCCCTGAAGGTGAGGCATTCCCTTCGCAGTCCTGGGAAAATCCCAGAGTTCTGGCGCACTATTGAGCATCACCAAGTCGACCAGGACCCTCACTCTCTCCCTACTTCTCCTGTCCAGACCCCTGTGTCACCTTCTTCCTTGCCTCCCCATTCTTACACTGCTCCTCACTGTTCACTGTTTATGCAGCAGGCAATTTTAAAAGCTCAATAGGACCTTGCCCTGCCCTGCCAACTCCTTTCAGTGCAGGAAGTCAGAGCGATGGGGAATACGAGCTCTCTGCTCCACCTCGTTGCCTGCTCTGGCTTCCTTCTGTTCCTAGAGTGGGCTCTGCTTGCTCCTGCATCTGGGACTTTTCTTGCTACTTCCTTCCCTAGTTCTTATCAGGACATTGCTAAACAATACTTACAGAGGTGCCCTTGGCAGCTCCTGCTTAAAGTGGTTCGAAAGATACCCTATTCTTAGCCCCACATCAAGCCATTCAATGCCCTCCAAAATTCTTATCTGAATGCTCATATCTGATTGTCTTACAGCATGCTCTGGTGGAATATAAGCTTCATCAGGCATATGCTAATTTTGACCTTAGCCCTGAGTGACTGAAGTGGTGGCACAGGTCACAGAAGGCCAGGGAGGCGAGAGGCCAGTGTAATAACTCACCTGTGTTGCTGATGCTCCCAGCCTGGCTAGAGCTGGGATCTGCCACTGGGTGACTGAGGTCTTCCACACAGGAAGGGACAGATGCCAGAAGACCTTGGAGACAAAGAGATAGTCAGATTAGGAGAGCTATAGGTCATGAGAAACAGAGGAGCCAGGAGGGCAGGACCAGGGCGCAGCCTCCACCTTTTCCCAGCACCCCAAGCTGCTCAGGGAGCCCAGTCTGGCCTAGCCTGCAATGTCCTCCCCAGGGTGAGCTGTCAGTGGGGTAGGAGCTCCTTACAGAGTCCCCGGTATCGTGACAGCTGCTGGTAGATCTGTTTCATGCGCTCGATGTTGAGCCGACTGGTCTCGGCATGGTTGACGATGGGTCGCGGGTAGTCTACGCCAATGATGCATTTGGCAGCCTTCTGAACCGACTCAGGAGCATTCCAGGGCTCGTAGATGTAGCGAGAGGGGAACCCTTTCAATTTGGGCAGGTATCGCCTGAAACACATACCGGGTGATGTGTCAGCACACTGTGGCTCTTCCTAAAAGAGTCCACAGTACCAAAGGAGGTCACAGTGGTTCAAAGCCAGACAGTCTGGCTCGCATCCTCACCGAATGTAGTCCCCACTGGGGTCTGTGCGTCGGCCGAAGCCCACAGGGCAGTAGCAATGGAAGAACTGTTGGAAGAAAGCGCTGCAGGACAGCCACATCCAGCTGCCCGCGTTCACACTAAAATCTGCATCCAGGAGTAGCTCATCAAATACCTAGATGGGGACAACCAGCCTCCTTGGAGACCTGACGCCCTGGTTCCTTCCAAGTCACTGTAATACCCCAAGGAGCCAAAGTTCTTTTGCTGAGGACATGGAAGGGATCTCCTAGACCCAGGGATCCCACCCCAGCCCCCAGCCTAGAAGGGGGCTGACCTTGGCTAGGCCTGGTCACAGGGTATAGGCCAGCTTGCACTCACCCGGACCCCGCTCTCCCAGCTGACCCAGAGGTCCCCGCGGGTGAGGAAGCAGGCCACGGCGTGCCGGGCCAGGTGGTGGATCCAGCCCTCCTGCCTCAGTTGGGTCATGATGGCGTCAATCCAAGGGAAGCCTGTCTTGCCCTCGGCCCACTTGGCCAGGGCTTCAGGGTTGCGGTCCCAGGGGATCTGGATGCAGATGGGGTTCCCCTCCATTCGGTCAAACCTGGGGTTATTGGTGGCCGCTGTGTAGAAGAACTCTCGCCATAGGAGTTGTCCAAACAAGGAGAGGGGGGGCGTGCTGTTCTTCTTCACCTGAGGGAGGGGTGGGCATTGCACACAAAGGTGAGCACCTGCCAGGTTCTTAGTGCTGTGATGCTCAGGGCTCCTGCACAGAGCAAGTGCAGCGGTTCCCAGTCCCCTATGTGTGCAGAGGGACCAGAATCACAAGGTTCATAGTGTGTAACATGCAGGCCCTGCTCTGAGCACCAAGACTGGCTTCAGATGGCTAGCAGTGGGAAAGTGATGCTATGGGAACCAAATCCTTCAAGACCACTCAGGATTCTGTGGCTCTATCTTCTAGAAGGCTGAAGGGATTTTATACATCACCAATTAAAAAATGTGGTCTAAACACCTAAATATCACTGAACCCAGAGAAGTTGAACTGGTGCCTACCCAAAGCCTTCACCTCTACTGACTAGTGTTGGTGGTGCTGGAAGGTACTCTGTGTGCTACTAGAGGAGAATGGTAAACACTATCCCAGCTGTAAACCCTCTGATGTATAATGGTGACCTGCCTGCACCATACTCTGGTACAATAGAGGCACAAACGTTGTGGGAGCAGCCAACCACTATCTGATGATTGGATTTAAGAAACCCACCCCATGAGATGGAACTCATCCCTGACATTGCCCAGGTGACCAAGAACCTTGGTGGATAGATCATAGACCTAGGGGAAACCAAAGGGACACAGCAATAAAATGCCTCCTAACAGCACTCTGCCATACTCATAGGTCCGTGTCTCACTCAGCCATCATCCGAGGAGCCGCCCCCTGCAGTAGCTGGGAACTACTACAGAGACCCACAGCTGGACAGTGTGCGGAGTGAGAGACCTCAGAACTCAGTCCTAAATAGGACGTCTCCATCAAACCTCTCATCAGGGCTTGGGTAGAGGAGGTAAAAAGGGTTTAAGAGCCAGTGGGATGGAGGGCACCAAGGGAACAAAGCCTTCTGGACACAACAGGATTGAAGTACATATAAACTCACAGAGACTGTGGCAGCATGCGCAGGGCCTGCAGGAATCTGTACTGCATGGGGTCCCAGTTTGGAGAGAAGAAGTAGACACAAGCCCTTCACCCTAACCCAGAAGTTACCTCTAACTGATAATCACTCACAAGGGAAAAATAGCTTTCTCCAATGGGGGTCTCACTGGATAGACAAATCACACTTAAGGGCAGGCCCCATCCCCAGCAGCAGATGAGAAGATGGCCAGTACAAAACAAACTCCATGGTTTTAGGAGGGTGCTCTGTTTTGGTTTTCTTGGTCTCATAATGCTTTGACTGGGCTTTTTTTTTTTTTTTAAATTTAACCTTACAGATCTTTTGCTTATATATTATGGTTTCCAGTTTTGTGTTTTTATGGGATTTATCTGTGTGTAAATGTATATGTCTCTGTGTTAATATGTGTTTCTTGGACTTTCTCTTTGCCCCTCCCCCATTCATTTGTTTTGTCTATTCAGGTTTGTTTAATTTTATCTTATTTTTTTCTTTTTTTTAGATGCCTGTTTGTATTCTAATGAGAGAGAGAAAGAACGAGTGTGGATTTGAGTGGGTAGAGAAGTGGGGAGGATCTAGATGGAATTGGAGGATAGAAAACTGTAACTAGAATATACTATATGAAAGAAAAATCTGCTTTCAATTGAAAAAAAATTAATAAGTACCAAGTCTGGATTTTGGTTAAATAATGTATAAGCAAGAGTTAGAGACATGAAAGGATTAGACTGGACTACACAAACAATGATTTCTCCTCCCTGACGACTTATCCACTAAACTCTCAAACTCCGTTTCAAGAAGCCATGCTGTCTGTGGAGTAAACAGGCCCACATGCAGCCCTCTCAGGTCAGCCCTCCACTACAGAATGACAGCAGCCACTCCTGGACTTCTTTACACTCTGCTGCCGGCCTCAGGGCCCAGGTGCCCTTTGGCTTGGGACTGCTTCTGGCCTCAGAGCTCACCTCCACCCAGCTGCTAAAACCCGAGGCCAGTTTTTCGGTCTCTTCCTCAGAACCATAGGAGAATCTGGGTTCATTTACATCAGTGACTCAGCTTAGCTGTCACCTCTTGGAAACCAACCATCTACACTTCTCTGACTCTCACAGCCCAGCCCCAAGGGCACTGTCTGGGGTGATGGGCAGTGAGTGCTGTGCCTAGGGGGCTGTGTAAGCTCACTGCACCTCACCTTCTTATACAAGTCCCACAGGCGGTAGTAGAAGAGGCGGCAGGAGAGGCATCCGAAGCGCAGGTAGGGGCTGAGGCCTGTGGGGCTAGCCAGCAAGGAATTGGCATTCATCCGAGGTCTCTCATAGTTGGCAACCCAGGCCTGCAGAAGAGAGAGGGACAGAAGGAAAGACCTAAGTGTTAAAGAGTCAAAGGACAAAGGCCCTGGAGCCAGGCTTTGAGCACTGTATGTATTCCACTCCCCTGCCTAGGGACCTAGAAAGGAGAACCGTCCATGTTCCTGCCCTGACTTCGATGTTTGGTCTATGGGATGACTGAATGACTTACTGTCTCTGGGGATTAAATAAAGTAGGGAAAAATGCTGAAAGTACGGAACAAACTCTAATTATATAGAAGGGGGAAAGGCATCTGCTTTACAGAAAACAGTTCCTAGCTCAGTCCCTGAAGAGAGGCTGCCACAGCTGAGTCCAAGGCACCCAGGGCTTTTCACCATTAAATAGCCAGGAAAATAGAAACTCCCAACCCATTTCCGGAGACCAACAGAGTCATTCACTTCTGGGGCCTCTTGTCTAACATACTGATCTTGTTTTCCTCATCCACAGCCCCATCACACTGCTCTCCTTTTCAAGGAGGATTCTCACTAGACCCTAACAATACTGGAGTATTCTGCTATTATCTTCTACAAACAGAGTAACCAGGCTCAAAACAAACAAACAAACAAACAAACAAACAAACAAAACCAAAACTGTGACTCTCTTGGGATTAGTGACTCATAAGAGAGCCTGGGAGTCTCACTTTAGACCCCAGTCTCCAGGAAGATAGTAGATCTCTCTGTTCCTGACATCTTTCCTTCCTATAGCAAGCAGGCAGGAGCAGCTTATGAAAAACCTCACCTGTCCTCACCTCAACTGTCAGGCACCCAATATCACTGACAGGCTTTCCCGCACCCTCTTCCTCTCTGAAGGAAAATGAGGGCAGGACTGCTCCACGGGTACAGGTGAGGAGGACTGACTGTAGATATGAGGGAAAGTTCAGTCAGAGGCATCTGGAAGGGTACAGACTGAACAGGGCCATGAGAGAACAAAGGAGGGGAGAGCAAGAGAGAAAAAGAGAGAGAAGAGAGGGCAAGCAGACCAAAAGAATGCATATCCAGAGTGGCTGGATTATAAAGAAATCAGAAGCTGGGGGGAAAGGAAGCCCAGGCCCTGGGCTGGAGAGGTTTAGGGTAGGGGCGGGGTGAGAAGTGCTAGGAGGAGCCGCAGGTTCTAAGTGAGACTTGTCCTGGGAGACTTGTTTCTTTGGGAGCAGACACTCTCCCAAACAATTTCCATGCCAAGAATGTGAAATAATGAAGTCATTTCTCCTCTGAAAAGCAAACAAATAACCAACAAAGCAGAGGACTTGTGATAGCCATGGGCCTTGCACCAGGCCCTTCTTTTCCACAGTCAACCTGTCTCCACTACCCCATCCCACCTGCACTTTCCAGCCACCTGCCTGTCTACTCCTCCTGACTTCACTGGTACCCACCAGCCTCCAACCACTACCACACGCTGAGTGCTCAGGCACTGCTGTCCTTGCATCCTGCTGTTCACTCCCCACCTCTGCCTTCCAGACTCCGTGTTTTCACCTGGCTGGCTGCCAGTCACTCTAGGTACTTACTCTGTTAGTCCATCTCTTCTACATCTCTCAGTGCTGCAACTCTGGGATCCACCTTTGCCCCTAGGCCCATCTCTTAGCAGGCACATGTCTACAGCTGTAGCCCAGCTGGTTCCACCGGCTGCTTTGTGCGAACTTGCTCTTTTCCTTAAGTTCACATTTGCACAGGACTCTTTGCAGAGAAAGCAACTTTATCCACCTCACTACTCAAGAACAGACCTAGTCATTACCCTTCTTCATGTCCTGGTACTGTTCCACCCAGGCTTCTCAGATGTGTCCGGTTCTTTCCGTCCACTACTGTTAAGATCATATTTAGTCTGGAATATGAAGACAAGCTTCTCCAGGGCACTGTCCACACTGGGAATGGTGCTGGGGCTGCTCAGAGGACTGAGAAGGGCATACAGCTCTGAAGCAGCCCAGGCTTCTCTGGCCTCTCCTTGCCTGTTCCTCAAATACTTGGCTGTCACCAGCAGTGGCAGATGTGGTTCCTGTCTGGTGCCTATCGTCCCTTGCACTTTCACTTGGCTGCTTAAGTGCTTTTTAACAGAAACCAGATACTTCTGCCAGTGCATCTCCCAGTCCCCTGATCCTGCAGCTTCAACCCCTATCAAAATTTTCACTTGTTCGTTTATTTTGTGTGTGCGCCTGTGTCAGGTGTGGAGGCAGGGGAGATGCTGGGTGTCTCCCTCTACTGTTCACTCTCACTGAACTTGAAGCTGGTTTTCGTAGGTTCTTATTGGAAGGGGGCTAGACCAGAGGTTAGACAGTCCCAGCGACCTTCCCTGTAACTGGAGCTACAGGTGTGTGCGGTCACAATCAGCTTTTTTTCTTCTTGTTCTGGCAGAAGTTAATTTCCCACCTACACTAGACTACAGGAGCAGCTGTGCATGTGGGTACTGGGGTCTGAGCTCCGCCCCCTGCTTGTGAGACAAACCCTCCCACCCCAGCCACCTCTCCAGCCCCCAATCTTTTTATTTTAAATGAGACACAGACAGAGAGACCCACACAAACATGTGGCTTCGTGAATTCTTTTAAACAAGCGTCCAGTTAATCACCGGCAAAGTTCTTGAAACAGGACCTTGCTAGTCACCCAGGAAGCTGGGCTCCTCCCCCTGCCCCAGCTTTTATAATTATCACTTCCTACATTTTTGAGATGTTTACATTTTTCTACTTTTGCGAAGTGTGCTTGGAGCAGTTTTATTCTTGGGTTTTTAAGCAGCCGCTGTCCCCCATCCATCTGTGTATCCGTCTGCCCTGTAGCTCAGTCTCAACCATTTAAAAAGTAGTCACATCAAAGTTTCTTTTAAGTATATACTCTCTGCCACCCCTTCCTTGTCCTGTTGATGTTTCTGTGGAAGGACACGGGAGCTGCACTTGTGTGATTCTGATGCCTACATACCCATGGTACAGTCTGCCCTGTGCACTGCCTACAAGTTGGCTGGTACCAGAGACTAGACTGAAATGGATGTGATCCTTTGTGAAGTCTACAGTAGGGGTACATGGTGCTTGCCTGTCTCTCTGAAGGTGGCCGTGGATATTAATGCATGTGTCATCACAGAGGCTGCAAAACGGTGGCGCTCTAATTCTACTATCTCTTTTCATTTAATAATCAGAACACTAGAGCTCAGCATTTCTTTCAGAGAACAGCCCACATGGTAGCTCAAAGCTGTCTGCAACTCTAGTTCTAGGGGATCTAATGTCCTCTTCCAGATTCTGTGGGCACCAGACACATATGTGGTACATAAACACACATGATGGCAAAACAGATATATAGAATTAAAATAAATCCATCTTTTTTGAAGAATCAGAATGTCATTAGAAAGAGCTCCAGAGGTAAAGAACATATAATCTGCACTGTCCCCCCTTTTGGTAAGAGCATCAAGTGTGTTAGTGGAGCACCTGACTTCTCTAAATCTCAGTTCTACTGGGCAAGGCAGATCTAAGCCTACTTTCTGACTCTATGAGTGGGCTCAGAACGCGAATGTGGTCAGGGGACACACTCCATCCCTGGCCACAGTAACTGAGCCAGGGAAGGGCACGTAACCCAAGCCAAGCCAATGAAAATACTTCTTTGGACTTTTACTGAAGCTTTTGAAAAAGAGGTGAGCCCTTTCCTCTGGTGAGCCAGCCAGCCGGAAGACAGGCCACGCTGACTACCTTCTCCATTGCTAAGGGAAGCCAACTTGTGAGGGGACTCCTCAGAGGACAGCGAAGCCAAGATGGCAGACATCTGCTTAGACATTCTTGGGATACCTGGATCTAGCTATGCCTTTTAGCTACGCCTTAGATTCCTCATTATATTAATTTTAAAAACTCCTCTTTCAAAAAACAGCTGCAAGTGCAACACCTGACTGATAATTAATCCTGAAGCTCATCAGTCTTTCTGGCTCCTAGAACATCCTGATAGAAATGACTTCTCCTTTAGATCTGAAGAACCAGAAAGGTTCATTTCTTCAACTCAACACCTCTGGGTCTCCCTAGTGAGCAGAGCAGCATTCAGGGGTGTATGGAAAATGGGCTCCTGACGTCATAATTTGAGAGCAGTCCTCTATAAAACACATTTTTAGAGAATAAGAATGAGAATCTATGGGGCCATAGGTTAACTCTGTATACTCGAGTCCTGCTCTCCCTGCCACCCCCTTTGTCACCTCCATCCCTGCTCCCGACTCTCTGGGCACAGAGTTTTGTTTCTCCCTTTCATCTGGTGCTAGGATGGAATGGGGGCTTGGGCATGTCTAGAACACTCTGCCACCGAGCTACAACCCGGTCCTGGGAAAAACTGTTAATGTGGACATAGAAAGTTGGTCCCTTGTAGCTACTGACTCAAATTAGAGGAACTTGTTTTTAGCCTCAGCTGAGAGAAACATCAGAATGGGAATATTAGGTCTGCTGAGTGGAGAAAGATCAAGGCCATCAGTGCTGCCTTCGGGGCTGGCTGGGCACTGAGCCTCAGAGAGCATCCTTCCTAAGCAGGCTGCCATGGGCCCTTGCTCCATTGCTATCATCGAGCTGCTGGCAAAATGCCTTGTCATTCAGTGGGGACAGTAAAAGCTGTGCTTTTAATGGCCAGACTACAGAGACTGCAGGGTCAGGGAGCTAGGAGGCAAGAGTCCTCAGTCTGTGGAACTTGCTCTGCTCCTCTGGTCACAGGCAGGTGAGGAACATAGCCACTGTGAAACAGAACCTCTGGGACCTCAGACTCCCTCCTTCCTCTTGCTGAGCTTCAACACTAAGAGAGTCAGTTCTATAAGGAAATGGAAGTAAAGCTGTGGAGGAAACAAAGATGGGAAGGGACAACCTGACACCGAATGATGGACATTATGGGCTTTACCGACAGAATAGCTCTATGATTTGGTTCTTTTGAGACAGTCTGCAGCCCAGTCTGGCTGGAACCTAATGCAATCCTTCTGCCTCAGCCCTCTTTAATGCTAGAATTTTTGGCATGCACCGAGCCTGGTGGGATACCCTTTCAGCAAGCAGAACCTGTCCACAGAAGAAAGTTAATGGTGTGAGCGTGTGGCACTAGGCCTCCCTACGCTACTTAGCAGTGGTGTGACTCAACCTCTTTAAGCCTAGCTTTGTAATCTGTCAGACAGAAAGCCTAATGCCCACCTGCGGGATGGTTAGACAGATGAAGGGGGCAACGCAATCAGGTAGTTAAGCCAGTGCTCAGCACAGGGGTGGGCTCTCTAACCAGGAGCTGACATCAATTTTGCCATCAGAAAGTTTTCAACCACTTGGAGATTTGAGGCTCTAGGGACATAAACCTGATCCACACCTTTTGCACCTGCAGTTCTGGGCTCAGAAATGGGGTCATACCTTCCGTTCCAAATGCTTATCCAGGCGGGCTAGAGCTTCTGTCTCTCCTCCTTGCCAGACAGCTGGGCCAAGTCCTTCCGTGGGGAACCCTACAAAAGGAGCAGCAGGCCAGGGCATTGCAGGTCAGGTCACCTGATTTACAATTATGAAAATGATAATTTCCACTATTCATACTGATCTGTTCTTCAGATGAAACCACAGACCCTGGACTTGATGGTACTAGGACTGAGAAGGCCCTTAAAGTGAAGAAGGCCAGCTTTATTCAGACTAGAAGATGGAAGGTGGAGAAGCCCAGTGACCAGCACCAGACAGCACCTCTACTGTTGGAGAAAGGGAACTACACAAAGAGGCTCCAGCTAGAAAAAGCAGTCTGGTAGGGCATATATGGGTCTTGGGGGTCAAACAACGGCCTTGGGGGGATCGAGATAGTTAATAGCAACCTTTTCTGGTTTTTATTTGTTTGTTTGTTTTTTAGGCAAGTTCTCCGTGGCCCAAGCTGATCTGTTTCTTCTGTCTCTGTCTCCCAGGTTCTGAGATCACAGGCATGTGCCAGTAGGCCAGTATTTTCTAACTTTGACAGACAGAAGCAGGAAAGCCATATCCCGCAGGAAGCAGCAGCACGTATGACTTGATGCAGAACGTACACACCCAGTTCCTCCAGGGAAGGCACGCCATAGGTGTCATCGTGGTTCTCCCGGATCTCGGCTCTACAGCTCTCCATCTGCTGGCTGCTCACAGCGCCGACTGGCTTCTTGGGCAGCTCCATGCGGCTGATGATGGCCTGAAAGCGCTTGTAGGTAAGGGGTGGTTTCTGCCCATTCAGGTCGATGATTCTGGGGAGTCCAAAGCACATCTAAAGTCACTCCTGAGGTCTTTTATTTTGGGGTCCCTGACCACCCAAAAAAGAGCCCAAACTCAGAAGCTCTGAGGTTCGCTCTCTTGTCAGTTCACAGCCCCACCCCTGAGTAGAAAGGGGGGCAGGGGAGGCTGCATCTCCATTTTACCGAGAGGGAAAATGAAGCCCAGAGAGCTGGAGCAGGTGCCTCAGGGAATGGAGCAAAGCAGGGTCAAAGCTGGAGCTCAGTTCCAGGTTCCCTGGTGTCCACGTGGAACCTAGAGACAGAGACTGACCATGCCTCTCTAATCAGACAGAAAATCCCCCATGGGTCTTCTGGGCACATATGTGATCACACCAAGGGCCTCTATCTACCCAGTTTTGAACATGTATGGTGAGGGCTATGATACACTCCTTGCCTGGAGGATCATCTCCTGTAAGCCCTGTTTACTAGAGTAGAGATGTAAAGGCCAGCTAAGGCTCCCTAAATCAGAGGCTGTGGTAAACAGCAACACCATAAAGAGTTTTGAAGTGTGCCAAGTATTTTTTACAAACAAAAAGGAACGGCATGAGGGTTGAAGAAAGAACACCACTGCTTCTATCAGCACAGACTTGGGTCCTGGGCTCTTGCTGCCTGAGAAGGAGCTTATGCAAGACCTGCCTGTGGGTGAGTTCATTTCCCTATCTGCTCTCCCTGTGTGTGCGGGGGTGGGGTGGGGAGGCTGGGGGGGACATCAGCCCACACAGAAGCTGGCTGTTACCTCTGCAGCCCCGCCCCTCTTCTGCACGTGGCAGGGGAAGGGCTCCACACCAAGCCTCTCCTTCTGAGGGCTTGGCTCACGTGCACAGCTGTGTGACCCAGCCTTCTGGCAGTCAGCCCTGGACTGGGGGAAGAGGGCGGGGAGCAGCAGCAACAACAGAAGGGTGACATCTCCAATAGGTAGACTGGGGACAGAAGGGGGACAGACGCATAGGGGCTGGCCACTGGGGAAGGAGACCCTGCTGTGGTTACCAGCAACCTGCAGGGGTCTCTAGAGTCCTCAAACAGCATCAAATGCATGGCCTGGAAACCCAGATAGACTGAACAGACCTGGCAATCATCCCAGGGCTGGGAACTAGGTCTGTGGGAGTGGAGACCTGTTGGGACGAGTGACAGATGGGGTCTGTCAAGGTCAGGACGCTGCAGGACGCACAGTGAGCTAGCAGCAGATTCACGAAGACTCCATGTGGAGACTCCCTTCTTCCACATCTTGGGCCTACCCAAGTCTTTGTAATCCAAATTTGATAACCTCTTAGTGACTTCTTTAACCCCCAATTCTTGTCCAATTCCTAGAAAGTACCATACCTTACGAGCCAGGTGGCCCTCTTGCTGAACTGATCTATTCCACTTAGGAGGAGCCCAAATCACTGATCCTCAGCATAGGCAGCCTTACCAAGAACCACCCTGTCTCACCTGTCCAGGTCATAGAGAGTGTGAGAGTTCTCCGTCACTACCTCCACTCCAGCTTCCTTGGCCATCTTCATAATGGCCGCATCCCGTTCCTTCCCAAAGGGTTCAGAGTCATATTCAAAGGTCAAGCGGGTCACCCCCCATTCCTGTGGGGAGATAATCTGTTATGCTCAGTACTGTTTGAGAAGTGAGACCTAGGCACGCAGCTCCCCTTTGGGAGTGAACAGGGTCAATCTTGGCTGTGTTACAAGGGCTACAGGATAAACCAAGGGCATCAGACAATGGTTTAAATTTAAAGCAAAGATCCTGAGGCTCAGAAAGTGTGAAGCAGGCGGTCAGGAGGGTCAGGCCAATAGCACTGCTGTGGTAGAGTCAGTGGGAGGGCTCTGTGCACTCACTGTGGCCTTGAAGCTATAAATACAATGTTCCCAGGGAGCCCCTAGCCCACAGAGAGGCACTGACTCACAGTGGAATGGTGGGAGAGACGCACACAACATTACTACCTCCTGACTGCTCCGCAGCTTTTCCCAGACCTCCTCAGAGTCTAACTTGTGGCCTAGTTTTCTTGGCAGACTTGTGCTATGTAAAGTGTCTTAATGGTTTCCACAGCAACACTCCCAAGGCCAGAAGCAAACAGAGCTAATGGCTCTCAGAGCTAGAGAAGAAGGAGCAATCCCTAGTCCAGGAGAAAACAAACTGGAGGGGCTATAAGCTGTGAGAGGGGAATTCTTTTCTGAGCTTTCTGTCACTCTGGTAGGAATAGCCTGGTCTCCCAGCAACACCAGGAGAAAGCTGCCCCAGTGAAAGCTATCTAGACAAGTCACAGAAAGCCCTACAGCATGTAACTACAAGAAGTAAACAATCTAACCAGTCTGTGGTCACAAGCCTTTAAAGCAAATGTCCTAATAATTCAGTTCTGCCCAGGGGAGTCAGTGAGTGCTCAGCAGGGTGGATACCCGACTCCTCAAAGCACAAATGCACTCAACGTTTATTTAGCCCTTACTATACTAAGTGGTTTGCATAGATGACATCATTACATATTCACAAAACCCTGTGACTAAGGAGATTCTCATTAAATGACAGCCCCACTCCTTCAGGAGGACTCTCCTGTGTCTCTGTCCTATTTCTACCACAGCATTTGTCACAGGCAATGAAGTTGCCCTTTACCTGCCTGTTTTGCCCATTGTCGTGTGAACTCAGAGCAGAAATCGGGCTGCGCTGTGCATCCACCACTCTCATCTTCTCAGCCAGAACGGGGCCTGAGCTAGTAGCAGCCCAACTAATACGTGATCTGTGACTCAATGAACAACAGATCTATGCTCCTGAGCAACAGCCTGTTAGGCCTCTGAGCTGCTGGGAGAGAGAGGAGCAATGTGGAGGGATTTAAGAAAGACAGAAAGTTTTCTGTCCCTGGTCTTGCTTCCTTGGGATGAAACCCAAGGCCTCATGTATATTAGGAAGTGCTCTGGCACTGAGCTGCAGCCACAGACTAACAAATGCATGTGTGTGTATGGCGGGTAAACACCAGCTCTGTGTCAAAGAGCGAGACCACTTCCTGACCAGGGGGCATGCTCTTTCCTCACCTATGAACCTGGGGCAGCAGAACCTACCCGTCAGGGCTACTGTAGGGTAGGCATTAGTGTGCGTTAGCAGTTGGAACAGGACTCACAGTCAGCCCGCAGAGAATGCTGGCGACTAGTGTCCAGTGACTCATAGGTGTGTACAAAATTATGAAGGGAGGGGTAACAGATACACACTGTGAAGCTATTTTCTTTGACATAGATTTTCCCCCCGGCATAGACTGCTATTGTGGATGAAGGAGAATGCTCTAGAATGCTCTATCCATGGTAACTTTTGCCTCTGCTTGGACCTCAAAACACGCATTTTAAAGGGGCTGATAGGAAATCAATGGGCTTGTCTCCAATATGGCCCCCAAATGAAGATTTTATTAATTGTGTACCACAGAGAAACAGTGACAATCTCTCAAATGCTGACTGACATTTTTCCTAATAAGCAGGGTAAGCTGAGGTGGGCAGCACCCCTTGTTAGACAGGAAACCCCACCCTCACAGTCTTGGCAGGAACAAACCCTAATAAATACAGACTTGAGCCAAGGAAACATAAGGAAGCCAGCGACGGTGGGGAAGGCCTTAGCAAACTGCATGTCTGGGCTGAGTGGGGATCCTTCCAATACAACACTGGTTTTACAGTTTTTTCCCTTACCAGTTTCCACCCTGCTGGCAAACTGGCCAGCTGTCTCTGCTTCTGACCTCCCTAGCAGCCATTATAGTGGCCAGACAGGCACCAGTATTTCCACTTTGCCAGCCAGAATAGCATTTCACTCTGTGGTGAAATGCCAGGCAGCAGAATCTCCCTCTGGGCCCGACACACTCACCTTGAAGAGCCTTGGGAACACATCAGCTGGCTGGCCCCGGACTACAAACAGGCGGGAGTTCAGCTTTCTTAAGCTCGTGTCCAGATCTTCCAGAGACTGCAGTAGGAACCTGCAGAACCCACAAAGGCCTTGTTAGTAACATGGGCGTGGGGGAAATGGAGGTGGTAAATGACAGGATACAACATACACACACACACACACACACACACACACACACACACACACACACCTTCCTAAGAGCTCAGTCACTGCTCATGCCAATCAAGTTGGTATGATATATGTAGGGCTGGCCTGGCCTGAGCTCAGACCAGGAGTGATGGGGTTAACTTCCAGCTTACTTCATATGATAATGAAGCAGTAGCTTTAACCTTTTTAGCTGTTTTCTCATCCGTGATTTGGGAATTAACAGTAAAGCCTATCGACCTGCTAAGATGTAAGATGTCAGTACTCGTGGAATCAGATAATGCAAGGAAACCCTCAGACACAGAGCTTGGTCATAGAGTCCACATGATCAATGTGAGCTGCTCTTCATGCTATGTTTCTGTGTGCGCGTTAAATACTAAAGCCACCTCCACAAGCTGGGCTGTCTCAGGCTTTGTTTGGTAGGTGGCTCACTTTCCAGGTCACTCTATGCCCCACAGCCCCTTAAGCCTCAAGCACAGTGGACTTGTATTGCCTGTGTAGTTAAGGCTGATCTTGAAGCTGCCATCCTCCCGCCTCAGCCTCTCAAGTGTTGAGATCACAGGCATGAGACACCATGCACGGCTTGGGCTGTAGGTATTTTTATACTTCAGGCCCGCACATGGACTAGGTTGTTCCTGGGACTTTGTTTGGCAAACTGCTTACTCTTCTGGTCTCTCCATTACTCTAGAAACTAGGTTCTCATCAGGAGAGGCAAGGGCTTAAAGGTGTTCTGGCTAGATACTGTGGCGTGCTCGGGTGCATGACAGGGACACAAAATCAAAAGCCTGTGTTAGAGTACTGGGTCACTAAGGGGCAGGAAAGGAAGTGAACCTTTGCTGAGTCTATCAGTGTGTTATTTTAAATTAAATTAACATTTTAACCAGGTAACTATTGATGTGGTTCACAACCCTAGTGATGAGTGGGTGCAGCCAAGACTATCAGTCTGGTTAGGAATCTGTTATTCTCTGTAAGTATTTTCTTAATTTGACCACTCAGCACATTCTGAAGGAAACTGAACTATCCCCATTTTGCAGACAAACAAACACACAAGAGAGATTAGGGAATTGACCAAAACTGGTAGCTCTTAAGTGACTGAGCTGGCTTAGTTGTAATGATCTGTCCTGTTCCTTTAAGAGACAAGCCATGCCCACCACCACCTACCCCTGTCTGCTGAGGCAAGCTGGTCTTCAGCTTCCAGCCTGAGTCTCTCTCCGAAGAGGCAGTCCTCACTTCTGCCCTTCCCCCCTATTTCTATCTCCCTCTCTGCTTTTCTCCCCTTCTCCCCTTCCCCTCCATAACCCACTAAATAAATATCCAACCTTGCTCTGCATGGCGGGCCTATCCATCTGTCTCTCGCCCAGTCAGTGTGGCTCCCTGCCCTGGACCAGCCACCTTCAGAGACCTGCAGCGTGGTCTTGTGGCATGCCTATCTGTCTGCCTCTCCTTGTGGCCTGCTGCAGTCACTTGGGAACCTGCACCAGTCCCTGCCTAGGACTGGCTGCTCTCGGGACCAGCTGCCCACTGCCACCCGGGGACCTGCAGTGTTTCTGCCGCTGCAGCCACCGGGGTCCAGGGATCCTGCAGCATTTGGACCTGCGCCAATCCCTGCCTAGGATAGGCTGCTCTCGGGACCCGCTGCCTACTGCTGCCAGGGGACCTGCAGTGTTTCTGTCCCTGCAGCCGCTGGGGATCCAGGGATCCTGCAGCATTTTTAATTAATCCATTTCAATAGTGGCCCAGGCTAATCAGACTCTGAAAGCCATTTTTCTTCTCAATGGCCCATTCCTAAACACTTCAGTCAAGCAAGCTCTGCTCCAGGACTGAAAGTCTCCTGAGCCTGGAATTCCTCCTTGGACAGACACAAGCCTCATGTAGGCAGTCCATCCACAGGCCTATCTTGCTCCTTAGGACCCAAGCCTGAACAGGCCAGCTTCTATGTCATTGTCCCTCCAAAGAACCTGCTGTAGATCACTGACTACTGGAGGTTTACAAAGGCCAGGAGGGCACCAATGAGAACTAGGCCCCAGCTGCCTCTGAGGCAATTCCAGGGCCAATGCTGCAGACACCCCCCCTCCCCCCCACCATTCCATCAGGAGCCAAGCCACTGCATCACCTGAGCTAAAGAGTGTAGGCTCACTCAAGGACTGAGACCAGAGACTGACAGCAGAAGTTCCCCCACTGGGAATTTCTGACTTAAAAATCTGGCACCCTTTGAATGCTAAGTGATCTGCAAGCCTGCTCATTGCTCTCCCTGGGGCCTTGCTGCTCCCTACTGACACACACACAAAGTAAAAATAAAAATAAGAAAGGCTCAGGGGAGCACCTGAAACAGAAGGTTTTGCTAGGCACAGTGCAGGGCACAATTCCACACCTCAGGAGGGTGGAGGTTCTTCCATCCAAAGCCCCCAAGATGTCCCAGCCATACACTTTAAGGGTCTCTATCTTCACACCTCAGAGACTGTCAACGTGCAGCAATTAAGGCTGAAATGTACAGGAAATATAGGTTCTAGAGTATGATGCAACCTGTTTCCCAAACGGCTTTATTTTTAGTACTCATTTGCTAAAAGAAGAGCTTCCCGCAGCATCTCTACAGCATAGAGGGATGAGTACCCTTGTCTTCTCTGACAGGAAGCAGCGGCAAAGTCTGCAGCTGGCAACAAAACAATGGCGCAATTCACAATGGCAACAGCTACATTTATTTACTGAGCACTCCCAGAGCAAGGCTCTAATCCTACTTGCTTTATAATGTGTTATTTAATTTCAGACAATCCTGTGAGGCAGGTGCTACTATCGTGCCCATTTTGCAGCCAAGAAAACTGGCATTAAAAGATTAAGTAACTTCTCAACATGATATACCTAGTAACTACCAGGTTCCTAGGCCTCAGCAGTGAGCACATCCACTTCTTGGAGCAATGCACTCTGAGATGGGTGATACTGCCTAGGTCTCAGCCCTTAGGGAGCAGGGAGCTCAATTCACGGCTAACACCTTTTCTGCATATCTTTTCTCCCCAGAGTGTGGTGTGAGGCACCTAGCACTAGCTGTGCATGACCAGACTCGCTAGAACACACACACACTCTTGGGTTCCATCGGAGATTTGCCCTTCCATATGACTGTCGTCCAGGGCAATCACTAGTCCATGAAAACTGAAGAAGCTCCCCTGTGGAAAGCGCTTCACTTTGACCTTGATGTACAAAGTGCATTTTTGTTTCAAATTTGTTTCCACTGAGCTCCCAACCCCAACGAGATCATATTTTCCTTTCAGACTATTTGGCCCTTATGAAATGCTTAACTAGCCCTGCCGTGGTGGCACACGCCTTTAATCCCAGCACTCAGGAGGCAGAGGCAGGTGGATCTCTGTGAGTTCGAGGCCAGTCTGGCCTACAAGAGCTAGTTCCAGGACAGGCTCCAAAGCTACAGAGAAACCCTGTCTTGAAAAACAAAAAACAAACAAAAAACAAAAAAAAAAAAGGAAAAAAAAGAAATGCTTAACTACATCCACCATCCCTCCTCCATTCCATCTCCATCCCTCCACCATCCCTCCTCCCCAGGATGAACTCAGAACAGCATCCCAGGAGGCGCTAGGAAGAAGACACAGGGGACTCTGTGTTGTGTAGCTTCTAGCCTTCAGGCAGCCAGGGACAGGCAAGCCACTACCATGGTATCACCTTTCGGATCTGTTTAGTGACAACTCCACAGAGCACCAAAGGAACTGGAGCAAGCTGCTCCTGAAGAAAGGCCACCTGACAGGCCTAGGTTTCCTCACCAGGGAAAACCAGGGCCTTCCCTCCGTGATCCCTTCAAACCCTCTCTGCACCTGCCCACTTCTTTTTACTTGCAGATGACCACGCCAAAAAACCACCTGAGTACTAGAATGGATGGTGTTGGGGGTTGAACCTCACTCTTGCTCCAAGTGCCACATGGCCGAGCACACAACCCTTGAGGGAGCATTTTCAATAGCTGTGCACCAGAATTACATAGGTTCCATGAAGCCAGGGCAGACAGAAATGGAGAAAACCAAACTGGGATTTCCAAAAATAGAGACAAAACTATCATCCAAGAACTGCAGGAGGCTACCCCTTCAGAACAGGTCAGTTATACATTTCTACTCAGGGACAATGGCTATGCTGAGAACAGTTTATCCGTTAACACAGAGGACAGGGTGACAGTGAATTCTTCTTCTGAGTTCAGACCGTCCTTAACCAAACTCTTTGGCTTCAAGCAAACTTACCTCACCATAACAATGATATTATGGGCTGGCAGACTGGAATAGGATATTAATAGATAGAAATTCACTTCTAAGAAATTAAGAGAGTTTAAACCTCACAAAAAAGGATAATTTAACCCGACAGCCTGTGGCAGAGACTGCTTCCTGAGTCTCATTCAGATAGAAATATAGGTTTTTCTTTTGAGGGTGCTCAATTTTAAAGAGCTTGATCAAAATTTTCAACCCTTTTGGGCAAATGGAAACATGCCCTTGGCTTCCAGAACAGTCAAGTCCCTTGCCAGAGTCACGCTGTGAATAGCTCAAAGAACACAGACTGCTCTGCGAGCACAGCACAGCCCCTACCTTCCCCGGCTACCCACTTTACAGCCACAGTCCGGCTGCACTCAGCCCCTGCACTCGGGATGAGGACAGCTCAGAGAGAGCACATCTCTACTAACCCTCTGTTCTTGAAGCTCCTGAGAGAGGTGCAGAGCAGAGCCAGGGACAAAATCACTTCAACAGAGTGGGAGGAGCATCTAAGCTGGGACCGGGAAAGAAAGGTAATTAAAAATGGATCTCGGCTGACCCACTTTTAAAATCTAGAAGCCACTCACAGCTGCCTTTTGTTTTGGTTCTTGCCTGTAGTACCGTCTTCCTAGATACAGCAAATTTGGGGAAGGAAGGACAGAGGAAAATGGCAAATTAGTGCTAGAAAAACATTCCTGGGCTGGGTGGTGGTGGCACAAATCTTTAATCCCAGCACTTGGGAGGCAGAGGCAGGCAGATCTCTGTGTGTCTGAGGCCAGCCTGGGCTACAACAGCTAGTTCCAGAATAGCTAGGGTTACAAAGAGAAACCCTGTCATGAAAAAGAAAAAAAAAGAAAGAAAACCATCCCTGGGAGTCACAGAGCTAGAACTGCTCCCATAGACTTCCTACTATCACCAAGGCAAGGAATATGGCAGTCTTCTTCTATGCTAGTAGAATATACAGACATGTATAGTGTTGGCATAGAGAAGGAGAAGGCGTAGGCGCGCGTGCGCGCGCACACACACACACACACACACACACGCTCTTCTGGCTCCTTTCTCTTTAACTGATGCTATGGCTATTTAAATCCCTCCATCTGCAGGAGGGAATTAGTCTAACGACAGATTCTGATCTCCCACTTCTGTCAGATGGACCCCACCATTCTACAGAGACTTTTCAGAGCAGGGTACTGAAGCAGTAGGGGGCAGGGCCGTTATGCTGCAGCCACATTCTCTTAGACTACTCCCAAGTTCCAGAAGATTACACACACTGCAGTTATGCAGAGGTGCAGCTGGAGTGGGAGGGGGCAGCTCCTTGCCTCCAACCCTACACACCAAACAGCACTCAGCCCTGCTCTCAAGCCATCCGGAGCAAGGGCAAAGATGCAGCTTCTGGAGTGTGTGTGCCTGCTGGCTCAGGAGCAGTTACCATATTCGATCTGTTTGGTGTTGTTTCACCTCGTTCTCCTGAAATGCCAAAGCTAATTAGACTTCCGGTCAATGCACTGAAGCAACACACTCCCCGGGCTGCCTGGCCCTCTGTGGTTCTTTAGTGCAGCACTTCTGATGCTTGGCTGCAATAGCTTAAAAAAAAAAAAAAAAAAAAAAAAAAAAAAAAAAAAAAAAAAAT